TTAACAGTTTTTTTTTTTTTTTAAAAATCCAGACGACATCCATTCAACTGATGTCAGGTTTCATTGTAAAATACATCCCTACCCCTTACCAAATTGTAGCTAATAACTGATACAATGATACTGACATAAGGAAAACCTAGACATCCCTTGTTCAATTTAAGTAGAATATTCTGTAACCATGGAAACGTGATTTTAGCTGTGTCTTTAAAACCCGGTAATTTTTAAAAGTTACTCCAAAATTCGCTTGAATATGAAATGGAACTAATGCTTTTAATTTAATTGCAAAATTAAATTCGGGGTTTTTAGCTTCTATTTTTGAAACATGGTTGGAACTGTGTAGCGAAAAAAATATTTTAAATCAATTAATTTATAATATATATATATATATATATATATATATATATATAAAGACACACACACACACACACATATATATATATATATATATATATATATATATATATATATATATATATATAGCTTTAAGCTATGCTATGTTTATGGGTAGATGTGCTCATTATCAGAGGTATATATATATATATATATATATATATATATATATATATAATCAACAAAAATAATTAAGTAATCAATAATAAATAAGGAGTAAAAGTTAACAAACAAGATTATAAAATAGCTACAAATAACAACGTTTGTATAACTTATTTTCGACTCAATAGCCTCTAAAATAATTTGAAATATAACCGTTACCGGCTACCAATAACCGTTGGGAGCATACAGTAGACCTTGCTACACATAATGTCACATTGACCAGCATATATAAATAGTCGATCCAAAATCCAACACAGAGGAGCTGAAACAACTGTCACCACTCGATGTTGACCTCAGCAACTTGGCGACGAGGATATCGAATTCACAGGAAGAACAAAAAAGACAAAATTCTCCCTCGTCAACTTGGCGACGAGGACTTCAAACTCACACGAGAAGAACAAAAAAAAATTCTCTCTCGTCGACCACAACAACTTTGGCGACGAGGAAATTCGAACTCACACAGGAAGAGTACAAAGAAAAATTCTCCCTTGCCGACCACAACGATTTGGTGCCGAGAAATTGGGACCTACACGGAAAGAAAAATTTCTCTCTTCTCACCACGACAGCTTGGGCGACAAGAATTTGCATTTCTCGGAGACTCAAAGAGAAAATTGCCGTTTTTGACAGTATCCACAACAACTGAGTAACAAAGTGTTACGAGGATTAAAATACAGAAAATTGAATTTTTCGTAAGACTCTTGCCATGGAGGATTTTAAAAGTATTTTAGTAGAACTTGTAAACACCAAAATGAACAGTAATTACAATTCCAAGAAAGAATGGAAAAAATATTACTACAAACGCAGAAGGTAAATCATGAAAGTCAAATGAAAAATGAAGAAAGACAATTACAACTCCAGGAGCTAATTGTAAAAGTAGCGAGTAATACACAACAAAATATTGAAAAAGAGACGACTTTTTCTCAAGACGCAGTATGGAACAGGATAGAAACATTCAAATATCCCCTTGAAGAGGATAAAAATTTCAGACGTCCTGAAGACATCTTCAACATCGATTGTCAAAACTGGACAGAAGCAAAAAATCTACGACTATTACTCAGAAAATTAGGAACGGATGAATACACAAAATTTGTGGATTACATTTTGCCAAAGAAGACAAATGATTTAACGTTTGATGAAGCAGTTACATGCCTGACGGAGCTTTTCAGCCCGAAAACGTCACTTTTTCACAAAAGGTGGAAATGTCTTAATCTCGTAAAGGATGAAAATGAGGACTATTCCACGTTCGCCGCAATCGTGAATAAACATTGCGACGACTTCAAGTTGGCAGAATTAACCCCGGACAATTTTAAGTGTCTTATTTTTGTACAAGGGTTAGTCTCAGCAAACGATAGTGAAATGCGAAAAAGAATGCTTTCAAAACTGCAAAATGAACCTGGATTAACACTACAAAACTATCGGAAGACTGCCAAAAATGTATGATTATAAAGAAAGACTCGAAGGATATTGAGGAGTCAGGAGTATCACATATACGTAAGTTAAACAAAAGTTTACGTTTTTCACCCTCCCCGGAAAGAAAACGAAAATTCTATAATAATGAAAAAAGTACAACGTACAGGGCAAATAATGACGAAAATCAAAGTAAATATAAGCCCCCACCATCTGCATGTTATCGATGTGGAGGACTACACTGGAATAAGGATTGTCGTTTTATATATAAAAAATGTCTTGTGTGTGGAAAAATGGGTCACAAGGCATCCCAATGTAGGAACAGAAAATCTACTAGTAGGATAAGAGCTACTAGAATGCATGACGAAGACAATACTAACATAAGGAAATATGTGGAACTTGAAATCTTAAATAAAAAGATAAAATTACAACTTGACACAGGTTCAGATCTGACGATAATTAAACTACAAACATGGAGAAAGCTTAATAGACAATGCAGATACACAGAAAATTGCTAAGTCTGTTACAGGAAAGCGTATAAAATTCGAAGGAGAAGTAATCCTAAATGTAAACTTTCACGGGAAAACAAGAAAACTCAAAATATTCGTAATGAAAGATACAGAAAATCTGGTGGGCACAGACTGGATGCAAAAGTTCGACGTATGGTATTTACCTATCAGTTCATTTTGTAAAAAGATAAAGTGCGAACCATCAGAAGTTATAAAACTAAAGGAAGAATTACATAATCAATTTCCAGAAGTATTTTCGAGCAGATTGGGACGATGCAACAAATTTACAGCTAGAAATGAATTAAAAGAAAACATCCAACCGGTATTTAAAAAGAAGCGGAACGTGTCGTTTGCTACCATAAAGTCGACAAAGAAGTAAAGAGAGCTTTGAAAAAATAATTAACAGACTAGGAAACGGGATGTACACAATACAGGGAGAAAAATTTACCCACAGAAGACATATTGACCAAATACAAAAAAGACGGGTTGAAGAGCCAAGCTCGTCACCCGCTGAAAATGATGATTCGATAGAGGCGATCTTTGAAGCGTTTGAGATTCAGAGACCAGAAGAAGAGACAGAAATTAGAAGGACTAACAGGAAAAGAAAAAATACAGAGCCTCTTATTATCGATTATAAAAAGGAAAAGATATTAACTCCCGCCAAAAAGGGATCTAAGAAGAGGGGTGTTGAGGGGTTCTCCCCTTTTTACACAAATGGACTATACATATACTACGGCTACGTGAAGACCCGAGAGAGCAAGACCGAAGAATCTAGCTGAGTCGTGATACAGTCTTTGACTGTAAGCGACGTCTGTCGAACTCTCTGCGTTAGCAGAGAGGAACCCGGACGAAGCTTTGCCGAAGGGCAAGGTTTCGTCCGGGGAGGTAGACAGGGCCTGAACCCGTCTAGGCGGGTTCAAAGGCTATATTTTTGGCCGAGCCTACGGGCTCGGAGATACCCACATTAAACCGGCCTTGTGACACATTCAATCCTGGTGGGTGGATCGATAAATACCGAACAAGACCGAAGAGTCGAGTCGAGTCGAGAGTGAGAGAGTAAAAGGTTGTAGGTAACCGGAAGAGTGAGGGTGAGGTAACAGCGTTGTAGGAGTCACGGTGAGCGAACACGTAGACTCAGTAAGAAGTCACACAGCGATACTTCAATACCAAAGACTGTATATATATATATATTGCTACTAACCCGTATTTCTGGAACTACTAACCTGCTTTACCAGTTTGTATTATTACGTTAATATATTATTTTCCTATATTCATTCTTGGCGTTTGTTATTTATTGGTACCGGATTTCAACCTGGAATCCACAACAATATATATATATATATATATATATATATATATATATATATATATATATATACACGACTAGTGCCATTCTTTCATAAGATTTAACGTTGTTTTGTTTTATCTAGTCTTCGAGCATTTTACATTACTGGGTAGATATGTTTACCTTTAGGCATTTTTTTCTTTTTTCAGTATTGTCGTTTTCGTTCGACTCATAAGAATTTTAGGTTTTGGTGTGTTATCTGTGGGTTCCAACAACGATTTTTTCCATTAACGTAACTTCAAATTTTCTATATTTCTCGAGTAAGAGTACTCAATATCGGAGACAGACCATTTATAGCTATAAACAGTGGAATCTACGCGTGTGTGTAATGTGTAGGAGAATAAATAATCTGTATCTGAAATACATGCACATATTTAACTCAAGTAGAAAAGAGAATGAATGGATGATCTAAGTTTTGTTTTTAAGTTTGAATACTTGTTTTTCGAAGTTAACCTTTCAGTATTTAAGCCGCAAAGGTCAGTCTACATAGTCGTGTCCACTATATGAGCAAAGAAATTACAAGCAATTCAAAAGAAAATGTTTCAGACGCCATTGTGCCTGAGGCTTTCATCTTCAGTGTTACAAAACGTTTTGTTCTAAGAGAGACAGCTGATCCTGAATTGAAAAGGAGAAGGAGGAGAAGAGGAAGGCGTCAGAGATTTTGCTAATCGTTTGTATTCTGTTCACTGATCAGTTTAAAAGAGGAATGGAGGAACGGCATGCATTGATTCCAACTCATGACAATTTCTCCAAATCTTTACTTTACAAAAGACAGACTCAGTTGAATATCGTGTAATCTGCATAAGTTCTCAATAAATTTATTTGTCAAATGAAATTTCAATTGGGATTGTGTAAAAAAAAAAGAGGAGGACAGAAAGAAATTAGGTATGGAAGAAAAAAATTTCCATTTGCGTTTCGTTCATAATTTCTGGGCTCACATATTTAGATTTCGTGTTTTAAAAAAAGATTTGCAACGCTTTGCTGTGTCTAGTATGGCAGTAAAGATTAATAAGATTGGTTATCACAAATAATCCATTTCGAGCTCTACTGGAGTGAAGTACACAATGACATTAACTAAGAAACAGGCCATTTGTTCTTTTGCGAAATATATGCTTAATTCTTATTTACTTTTTAACATTTCTTTTTTTTTTCATTTTTGTCTTTGATTTATTCATTTCTTTTACGTATTGTTTTTCCTTTCATTTTCTTTCACTTTTCTTACCTTTTTCTTTCGCTTCTGTTCGTATCGTTTTCTTTCACCGCTTCTTTACGTCCTCTTTCTCTTTTCATCTTTCATGTTTTTAATTCTATTTTCTCTAATTTTTTCATTTCATTCATTCTTTGCTTTCATTTTCTTTCACTTTCGTTTTTCCATTGTACATTTTTCCTTTTCTTACATTTTTTTAATTTAGTTTTCCTTTACGTTTAAAATTTATTTTTTCTTTACGTTTATTTTTTGTCTTTACGTTTGCTTTTTTTTTTACATTTTCGTCTTTTCTCGTTTGCCTTTACGATTTCTTTCATTTTTCTTTTGGTTTCAGTTTTCGTTTTCCCATTTTCTTTCATTTTTTCTCCCGTAATATTTTTTTCCATTTTTTTTTTCATTATTCTTTCCCCTTTCCCAGTATATTTTATCTTTTTTCATATATTTATTTTCTTTCCTTTCTTCTTTTTACACATTCTGAATTTCCACCATTTTATTCATACAGGCTTCTATTTCTTACCAATCACCAATCGTATTCACACACACATCATTACAAATAGAAAGAATATTCTGAGCTCGCATACATACTCACACGTGTTGAGAGAGTGACGTACGTTCTGGCCAGTAATTACTTCCGCTTCCGTACATTCTTAACTGCCCAATTTTCTGTCAAGACAAAAGGAAACCTGAACTGTTTTAGCTTTACAATTTAAACTCTGTAAGAGATAACTTTATGGGATCAAATGTCTGTCATTTCAGTATGGAAACTTTTTCTAGCAAATTAAAAGTTACTAATCTTCAAAATTTCTGATCATCATATACACGAGGTATTTACTTTTCATATTACAAATTTAGTATGGTACTCTGATTTTCTACATCGCCTGAACGGAGTTCCACTGTAGTTTTCCTTACATTTAATTACCTTTTAACTAAATACCATTGCTGTACTTGGGCTAATCACCTCACTTTCTTGGTTCGTTTCTTTAAATTCCACGCCGACACGGGTGAACGTATGTAGACCAATATACACTCATTTCTTCGTCCATGATATTATTAGAGATTTTCTACATCTAACGAATGAAAGTGCCTATTAGTTTGTGTGAGTGCACCCTGTGGCTGAGTGATCTAAAGCACAATGGATCAGTCGATGGTTTCATCCTAAAAAAAAATATGGCATGCAAGTTTAAACTCTCGCGGATCAATTGTTCAGCAATGGCAAAACCAAAACTGTTAGTCAATTGGCTATTCCTAGAGGACAGATTCAAAATCCTGGAGGGTAAATGCTGTTTAATAGAAGGGAATGTGTGATAATTTTAGTGGTGACCGATTTATTATTTTATCGAGGTCCCACTCCACATTTCACCTCAAGATCCTGGAGTCCTTGTATATCAGATCTCGTGAGCCTTCCCTTTGTAAACAGAGGGAATGCTTGCTGGGTCTGAATATATTGGACTCTAGTCCCTTGAAATTCATTTTTTTCTCTCTCCCCATTTAATTACATTCGTTAATTAAAATTAATTTACACGCTTTTAAATTCCCAGAATAAATAACTTGATAAGTCCTGGGACGAAACCGGTAGTTTTATTTTGGCTTTTGTTTTTTAAAAATGCCTTCTTATTATCTGTTCCTATCTATATATATATATATATATATATATATATATATATATATATATATATATATATATATATATATATATATATATATATATATATATATATATATGGGCAGCAATCTTTCTTGTAAACATATTTCGTTGAATATAACAGATAAGGAAAATTTCATTTTTTATTTAGTTTTTTCATTATTCTTACATTTTTCCGTTTTGCAAAAATTGCCCCAAACGCTTTCGGTCACTTCTTTTGCCATGTCCAAGGGTTGGGGTTTGGGAGGGGTTAGGTATTGATAATTTCTCTTCATGTATGACTATATAAGATGTTTATGTCTTTCGAATACTGGTAGGTGCGTTTATTCCGAGCTTCTCGTGTTGAGCGCGTATGGAATTCAAGTAAGCGTCTTTATTATGTTAACTTTCAACAACCTATTACCATTGTTAAATAAAGTGTGAAAGTCAGGTTGATAGTGTGAACGAGATTTATATATATATATGCGTGTGTGTGTGTGTGTGTGTGTGTGTGTGTGTGTGATAATTAAAACACCACAACCATTGCTTATACAACCACTACATTTATTTCTTGGTTAACATATATTAACATACCATTTGCTTCATAAAAGTAGGATTAGATCACATATAACAAGCCAGCATGGCGGCAAAACAAGAATTCAGACAAATCTTCACCAATAGAATCAAGCTGCTGCTTCATATATACTGTAAAAAGATGACTGCAAATACTAGAAACATTAAGCCTAAAAAGAACCAGATTAATATCAATAAAATCTTATGTAATTTGTAAATAAACATACTTAATAAAAAACACACACGAAAACAGAATATAACGCGTTATTTGGAAAAAGCTGAAACTGGCATTGTAAAAAATACAATGAAATCTTTGGGCAATTTATATTTTTTTTCTCAAAAAATAAAGAAAATATTTCGAAATTACAGAAGGAATAAACAAAATATATCTTCCACAAAAACAAACCTTCGATGGTCATTAGATGAACTTATAATATACGTAATAATATAGTCTTTATTTCACCCAAAATTCGATCGAACCAGGAAAACTTAGGAAGACATTGCATTCAAGGAAAGCAATCCTTACAAATACGGAGCTTTTCGTATCAAGAGATAGAGCAATTATAATAATTAGTAATAAAATGATACACTTGTATTAATCTGTGGTGAGTTTCAGCGATTGTTTTTCACATCAAATCGTCAGAAGAAGCTTTGATGAACACAATTGTTAGAGCATATTCATATCATGTTAGTATATTTAATATCATTTTATATTTAACGCGAAACAGAAAGCTCGTCAATTTAAAAAAAGAAAGAAAGAAAGAATGAACGAAGGAAGTAAACTTAAAGAAATTACACTACCTACCAACTCTATCACAAGTACATGTACGATGAATTTCTATGAAAGATTATATGAAATCAAAAGCCATTTTATTAAAATAAAACAACAATTAGTCGCTCACCATAAGGAGTTTGACCCTAATTTCCATACAGAAAATGCTAATTTCATACAGAAAATGCTAATTTCATACAGAAAATGCTAATTTCCATACAGAAAATGTTAATTTCATTAAAAAAGAAAGCAATGTACTAATTAGAAAATATAAAGAAAGTACACTGATTGCTAAATCATCTACGCTAACTTTGCGTCTATTCTCTTGCACCTTCCTTGGCAGATATTCTGCTGTTACACTATGGAATACATAAAAATGATATAAACAAAAGCTTGGGGAAACTGAATGAATTCAGTTAGACTGTGTATCCAGACAACTCTGACAAACAAACAAAAAAATAATTAAACACTTCCTCTCGGTACATAATTATAAACGATGCTCGCATTTATGTTTCCTCATCTCCCTACATGTATATGTATATAATTCCATCAATAAAACATGTAGTTCTTCTAGAGAGCGAAATGCGTTACATAGAATTTTACCACGTTGTCATTCATTTGCCTAAGATTATATAAAAAAACAGTTTCGCAGAAGAGAATAAAAGGCAGGCACGAAAATGAATAAGATACAAAATGTCGGCTGTAGTCACTAACAGGTTCTGGAGTCATTAATGATTCTTTGAGTCTTTTACGTTTAGTTCGTTTGAATATTATTATTAAGTATATAGAAAGGCAAGAGCGTTAGGACTTTTAATACAAGACGTACGTGTGTTGAAGCATTTTTATTAATAGGCACCCAATGAGGATCAAACTCACTATTCAGTCGTAATTAATCTAGCGAGACAATTTTGTTAACCATTACACCACGTGATCATGTACAGGCATCCTTCGATTAATGCGTTTTCGATTAGTGTCCTAAAGTTTTTATATCCCAAAATTCGATTAGTGCATACTTAATCCTCGTTTAATGCGGTCAAACATTCTTCAGTTTAACCATAGTAATTGAAAATTGATGTTTTTGTAGTTATTGATGTACAAATTAACCGTGTACTAATCGAGGGATTTCTGTTTGTATGTGTTTCTGTATGTGTGGATAAAATCATGAAATACCGGGGGAAAATATTCGTTGTTGGATGAGCAAAGGTCAAACGGAAAATATTAAAACCATATTATATAGTTTTTTTTTTTTTAATATTATAACAAATATTTTCTTCTTAAGATTATTTAACTACTGTCTTGGCCACTTAACCAAACTGATTTCACATATAAAGTTTTACTCCTTGAAATTAACAAGAAAGAAGGAACAAAATCAAATTGGTACAGATGAGAAAACTTCAGACACCGTCCTTATCAAATATTTCTGTCATTATTTATATTTACAGACAGACCTCTTTATAAACAGGAAACGACCGGTGCAAGCGTGTCTGTAGAAACATCTGGAAAATACAAATAAGACCACGTGACTAATGAGATCCGGTAACTCCTATTTCAACGGCTTTTCTTTCTTTCTGCAATACTGTTGTTGTTTCCCCCCCATACTCTTCTCATAGTAATCGATATCTGCCTAATAATCAATCAAGTAATTCACTCTTTCAACAATTTATTGATTATAGGCTCCACAGTTCAAACAAATTAAATTCTTTTTTTTTTGCATCGTTTTTTATTTTATTTTAATCCATGAATACTAATTTTTTTTTGTCTTCATTTACTTTCTCTTTTTAATTAAAGTGTTTTAGGAAATTCAGCCTAGATATGAATTTTCCTGTTGACCGAAAAGATTCAGTTTTAGGCTTTGGGAATTTTATCGTAAGCCGAACTGTTCATTCTGTATATTTATTTGTTCTTTTTCTGTTCAATGATTATTCGGGGCATCTTTTAGCCACACAAATTATTTCCCGGTCAACAAATTTCAATAAGTTAGAAAATAGTCTGTATTTTTATATCGGTCAATAGTTTATCATATGCTTTACTTTTCAGTTTCTGATTTAAATGTTCATTTGCTTCTGATTCCAACCTGAACCTCACTTTGGCTCGTGTGATTACTTCACTGTAGCATGTTTACTAGAAGCTCAAAAGGAAAAAATATTAAAACCATATTACATAGTTTTCAATAACTATTATTTTATTAATATTTTAAAGGTTAAGACTTGTTTTTAAAACGCAAACAACTTTACAGAACGACAAACGTACCGATCCAAAGTAATTAAATGGTTGCATGAAGTCATTTTAATAAACATCACGAAAGGATAAAATGACGCAATACCATTTGAAGGCGTTCTCTATACAACTTAAATAAGTATTAAGAGTTTGGGAAATGTTTTGAGAAACAAAAAACTGCTTTACTTTTATGTCAAACTTAATTCCCTATATGTCAATGAATTGGGCACCTCGGCGTGGTGTAATGGTTAGCAAGCTTGTCTCATGCTAGGTCATTTACTACTGAAAAGTGAGTTCGATCCTCACTGGATGCCCCATACTTTCGGCCTTGTGCCACATCTAAACT